GGCCGCGTTACAGGACGCACTCGTTACGCAGACTGGGGCATGTTCAGAAACAGCTCCGACGATGACGTCAACGTGTTTACGGAAGCGGTTGTGGGATTCATCGGGAAACTAGCGGATGATACTGTGGAGACAAAGACTATCACAACGTTTCCCAACCAGAAGCCGTGGGTGGATAAAACCATCCGCAACGCTCTGAGATCCCGCACCGCTGCCTACAACACGGGACTCACAACGGGGGACATGGACCCGTACAAAGCCGCGTCATATAACGTGCGGAGGGCGGTGAAAGAGGCGAAGCAGCGCTACGGGAGGAAACTAGAGTCACAACTCCAACAGAGTGACTCTAGGAGCCTGTGGCGGGGACTAAGGACAATAACGGACTATAAAGCACCAACAACCGGTATGACGAACGCGGCCGTGACTCTGGCAGACGAGCTGAACACTTTCTATGCTCGCTTCGAGGCTGCAGCTAAGGTCTCCAACAATGCTAGTGTTAGCGGCGCTAACGGCTGCAGACAGGAAGATACTGCCAGCACCGGAAACGTGCTCGTCATCTCCGAGCATGAAGTAAGGAGAGCCTTCAAGAGAGTGAACACCAGGAAAGCAGCAGGACCAGACGGCATCCCAGGTCGTATCCTCAGAGACTGCGCATACCAGCTAGCTCCTGTGTTCACTGAGATATTCAACATCTCTTTATCTCAGTCGGTGATCCCCACATGCTTCAAAGAGTCCATCATTGTTCCTGTCCCGAAGAAACCCCACCCTGCTTCTCTCAATGACTATCGCCCTGTAGCCCTCACCTCAGTAGTGATGAAGTGCTTTGAACGCCTGGTCAGAGACTTCATCATTTCTTCACTACCAGACACACTGGACCCACTACAGTTCGCTTACCGTCCAAATCGTTCCACAGACGATGCCATCTCTCATCTCCTCCACACATCACTCACTCACTTGGACACTAGAAGGAGGAATTATGTTAAAATGCTCTTCATAGACTACAGCTCTGCATTTAACACCATAATTCCCTCCACACTCACCACCAAGCTGGAGCATCTGGGACTCAGCTCATCTATGTGTCAGTGGATCTCCAACTTCCTAACTGGCAGACCACAGGCAGTAAGGATGGGCGGACATGTCTCAGCCTCCACCACTCTCAGCACTGGAGCCCCCAGGGGTGTGTTCTGAGCCCCCTGCTGTACTCTTTGTACACATATGACTGTGTGGCCACTACCAGCTCCACCACCATCATCAAGTTTGCTGACGACACCGTCGTGGTGGGCCTGATCTCTGATAACAACGAGACGGCCTACCTGAAGGAGATTAGGAATCTGGAGAACTGGTGCCAGAGGAACAACCTCCTTCTAAACGTCAGTAAGACAAAGGAGCTGATAGTGGACTTCAGCACTAAGCAGGAGAGGAACTACCAGACCCCCGTCATCAACGAGTGCCCAGTGGAGAGAGTGGACAGCTTCAAATACCTCGGAGTTCACATCACGCAGGACCTGTCATGGTCCTGTCACATCAACACCGTGGTGAAAAAGGCCCGACAGCGTCTCTACCACCTCAGACGCTTGAGAGACTTCCAACTGCCCTCCAAGGTGCTCAGGAACTTTTACTCGTGCACCATAGAGAGCATCCTGACGGGAAACATCTCAACCTGGTTCGGGAACAGCACCATGCAGGACAGACGAGCTCTACAGAGGGTTGTGCAGTCAGCTGAGCGCACCATCCGCTCCGAGCTCCCTGACCTGCACTCAATCTACAGCAGGCGGTGCTGGACCAAGGCCAGGAAGATCGTGAAGGACCTCAGCCATCCCAACAACAGACTGTTCTCTCTGCTGAGGTCAGGAAAGCGATTCAGCTCCCTGAAGACCAACACAGAGAGACTGAGGAGGAGCTTCTTCCCGCAGGCGATACGGTTTCTCAATCACACCACCACACAGTACTGACCCACACATATGGTTCTTACACACACACACTGGACTTTCTGGACATTGTTTTTGCACAACACTGGTCACTATATTCTTCATTTCCGGTTAATACTTGTACAGCTGCTGTTATTGTGTATATATTTATTTATATTTCTTCATACATTCTTATATAGTTCTATATTGTGTATTTTGTTGTACAGTTATTTTATTTTCAACTTTAATTTATATATTTTATCCTATTCTTCCCAGTTAAATTTACCCTTCATTCTAATTTGTGTTGTACAGTTATTTCATTTTTAACCTTAATTTATATTTTATTCCTTCCTAGTTAAATTTACCCTTTTAAATTTTTCATATTTATTTCCTATCTTATTCATAGCCTTTTCCTTTTTTGTTTTCTTTAGGTCACGAGCAGTTGTCCAAGCATTTCACTACATATCGTACTGTGTATGACTGTGTACGTGACAAATAAAATTTGAATTTGAATTTGAATTTGGTCCGGCCGGGTCAAGTCAAACGATGATTTTAATGATCACACACGTGGGAGATGGACACCGTATGCAGACAGCCTCAGATCTCAAAATGGTGGAGCATTGCTCAAACTCTTATAGCCTCTGGTTCTCCCACCTTATCATAAAAGCCTAAACATTCACATGCTTTTCTCTCACACGGCGCCTAAGCTACGACCTTGGCTCCCCGTTTATCTGCTCCTGCTGAGATGGGGCAGAAAACTCCAGTATGCTCTGTTCTCTTCTAATCAGACAAATAAGGCGATGACTTTCTGCAAACAGTATTTCTTATAACTCAGCAGTATAATGCATCATAAAACAATATCATTCATCCACAATAAATCAGCAGTCTAATGTAATGCAAATCAGTTTAACGAATGCAATAGTTATCAGCTTCTTCTAATTCAGGAGAATAATGCAAACTAAAACTACATAATAATTCACAATCTTTAGTTAGGGGTATAACATGGCATAAAATAATATTATAATCTAACAATATGTAAAGCGCTTTGGGGTCCTTAGGGACTAGTAAAGCGCTATATAAATACAGGCCATTTACCATTTCAGAGAAGCTATAATTGTACTATGTCACACCCTGAAAACAGATTGAAAAGCAGGAGCAGGCCAAGTTAGCAGAGCAGGCTCAGTCAGAGGAGCAATCTTAGCAGAAGAGGGTTAGCTGGAGGAGCAAGCTGGATTAGCAGAGCAGGCCTGGCTGGAGATGCAGGCTCGGCCAAAAGAGAAGGCAAGCAGAGCAGGCCAGGTTTAGTTGATTGTAGTAAAAAAAAGGTTCAGATAACTCCAGCTTACTAAGACCAATGTCTGAATCTGTGATATAATCACATTAAAACATACATGGCTTGGAGAGAAACTCATGCACACTCACTGACACTGCCATCTTGGGGCCAAACTGGCTGTCTCTAGGCAGGGGGTGGAGATAAGTGCAAAGGGAACAACAAAGAAACAAACAAAACAAAACAAATACATGCAGGGGCCCGGAGTGACAAAATGAATTAATTAAATACATCATTCGCAGATGCCAACAGATTAAACCCCTCTGACACCGCTGTTGATCAACAATTTGCAGTATCTCATTCTTTCCATGTTCTGTGCAATATTTTTGGCTCATGTGCAACATCTTTGGTATGAGCAATATTTTGGTCTCAGTGGAATTACCATCCCCACGCTAAATGATAGCCCCTCCACCCTTATTTATTTATTATATTATATTATATACCTGCCCTTGTTTACATCCGCATGATATTTCTGTTTCAATGTTTCTACGCATACACCATGATATAGTTCACTCACATATATGGGTGCATATATATTGCCGTTTATTTTTTTTCCCTCGTTGCATATTGTTTTCTTTTCTTTACTTGTGCGCCTTTGTGGTCCAGCTACCCAATTTTGCTGTGCAAGAAACCGCACAATGACAATAAAAGCTCTAAGTCTAAGTGTAAATAAACTGATTTACCAGGCCAGTAATGTTGTGGGGATGGAGCTGGACTCCCTTAGGGTGGTGTCTGACAGGCGAATGTTGTCCAAACTAAAGAGTGCTGGATAATACCTCCCACCCACTCCATGACGTGCTGGTCAGTCACAGGAGCACACTTAATCAGACTGAGATAACCAAAAAGCACCACTGAATGGCACAGGAAGTGGCCATCTCCCTGTACAACTCCTCCTCTAACACACTGTAAACACTACAATAGTTGCAGTCTTTTGCGCACACTCTTTACTACTCTGTAATTTTCTTTGTCAGTATTCTTGATATTTATTTATAATCACCTCTGTCCATTCTTGATATTTATAATTGAGTGATCTGTATATATTAGAGCTATTTCTCAGTATTCTGATTCTGATTAAATAATTAATGAAACATTTAATGAATTAATTAATGGCCAATTTAATTCATTCATTCAAGTCACTCCTGTCCCTCCATAATAACAGAGGCATGAATGTGTTTTTTGCACTGTTACACCCCGGCCTAGGCAACCGGCGTGCAACGTATGAAAATAGAAATAAGAAAAAAAACACACGAGAAAAAAACTAAAGCTCTCCACCAAAATCCCAAAACGAAGGTGTCTCAAACGAAAATATTAACAAACCCATTCACAGCTATTTACAACAGACTATTTATTTACAACAAAACACCAAACTATTTACAACACGGGGGGAGATCGCGACCATGACCAACTGACACACAGGGCTTAAATACATAGAAGGAGCAATCAGGGAATGGACCACAGGAGGGAAACACAGCTGGGGCAAATTAGACCTGACGAGACAAGGAAACGTAAACTGAACACACTAAGATAACAACAGACCTTCAAAATAAAACAGGAAACACATGACAGTCACGCAAAAACAAAACACTGACAACACCGAAACGTAACAGCACGTTATCTCAGTTTGATCCCGTCTATGTAACGGATCTGGGCCCTACAGCTTTAAGCAGCTGCGCGCTCCCGCGGACGGCAATCACTTTCTGGCACAACACCTGAACTATCGCGAGACTCAGCGATCCTTACTGGATTGAATGGAGAATGACGCGACTATTCATTCAACGAGCCCTGGTTTGGCTTTAGGTGTACACGTTGCTAGGCAACACTGCGACCAACTCCAACAGAAACAAAGGCTTCGTTTTCCGCCACTGACTGGAGGAAGTCACAGCGATGGCAGCTGAACACATCACGGGGCTGAAGCGGAAAATCAGACTGCTCGGTAAGTTTGTTCGGCGGGTTTCAGCTCAGCTGGAGGCAGCCGGTGCACCTTAGCGGCTTGTTCCGCTCTTCGTGTTCCAGGTGTTGCATTTTCTGCAGTTAATCACAGATTTGAGCGATGAAAGAGCTCACGGATAAAGACGCTTGCTGTCTCCAGTTCGTGTCGATTACGACAAAGTTTCGACACTTGCAGCTGATCAGTGTCTTTAAATGAGCTGCAGAGAATGAATAAAACGACTTGTCTTCTAAAATTCTCAGTGCCCTAAACTGTGATTGATATTTTCAGCTGTAAAATAAATAATAGAATAGAATAGAATAATCCTTTAATTGTCCCACAAGGGGAAATTTGGTTGTAACAGCAGCCAAAAAGACAAATATACAAACAAACAGTACACAGGACAGAAACATACACAATTTTTCTTACATATTTACATTAAGGACAATGGTTACTATAAACAGAGAGTACTGTACAGTTATTAAATAAAATAAAATTTAAACAACAATGTTATTGTTTGTATAGTCTCCAAAACACCTGGGACTGATTACTGAAGATAATGATTTGTTTTACACATGAGCCATAGCTTGATTCTCGTGACAATCAGATCTGTATTATGGAGGTTCTACTTCCATCCTGAATGATCGCTACTCCTCATCTGAAATCCCCTCTAATGAATGTAAATCATACAGTCGCTGTGAGGTAAACACAAGCAACAGTGGTCTGTCTGTCTGAGGAAGGTGTACTTTAATTTTATATAAAACAGTGCAACCTTATTTTGGTTATATCGAGCAACAGCTGTGACCATCTGACAGGTACACTCAGGGTCCTGCTGAGTTCCATCTTTCTTTCATCAGAAGAAAAAAACGATGGCACAGAAAAGCACAGGTAGGCATCCAGCTTGAGGATATTTCATTTTAACTTTATGAAGCGTTTTACAATCAGCATGATTTATGCAGTTATCTCACACAGCTCTTTCATTACTCACATCTGTGATAAACTGCAGAAAGTGCAACACCTAGAACACAAAGAGTCGAGACGAAGCAGCTTAGTGAAAAACAGCAAACTGCCATTTAGGTTCTTAAATGAACTTTAACACTTATAATTGACTTAGAGCCGATAAATTCAGCAGGTGACTGTGGGTCACCTGTTTCTCTGTATTATTGTGGTGGTGATGAAACGTGTCCATAGAGGTGGAGAGAAAAGCGTGCTATGACAGACATGAAGCTGCCATCATGAAGAACCAGGAGCTGATCCATCAGCTGAGGGAGGACAACAGGAGGCTGCACAGGAAGCTGGCGGGAGCTCATGCTGTAAGATGGTCACAACACAAGCTAAAGATGTTTGAATGCTGATCTGAACTTTATTTAATTTAAAATAAAGAAGATAATAGTGCAGTCACACACAGACTGAGAAACCTGGCCTACCTAGCTGGAAGCCATTTATGGTCCTTATGAAGCTGGAGACAACAATCCTCCTTCTTTTCCTCTTTTTTAACCACGTTTATCTCACGCAAAAAATGTGTTTTAGAATTCATTTTTGGTGACACTGGTGTCTGCCTCTTAGCGTGATGAGCAGGTGATCAGAGCGGCCTTTCAAAACAGAGCAAGGGAGAGGGAATCCTACCGCAACAAGTCTGTGAAGGTGAGAGGAAGCCTGTGCACGCACCCTGAACTCCGATTTTACTTGAAATGCAGTACTGTGAAGAAATAAGTCCGCCAGTGACTGAGCAGCAATAAGCTGCAGCATTGTTTTTCTGACTTTATCAATCTGTCACATCACTGTGGGGCAATTTTGGTCCACTCTTCTTGACAGCACTAATTCAGATTCGACTTCATTAATCCCCAAAAGAGCTTTTTGCTTGCAGCTTACACATAACACACAGTCTTTAAACCAGCTTTGATGCACAGTAAAGCTGAGATCAAGAAAAATAACATAAGGATGAAATAAATAAATAGAATAACAAGGAGAAATGTATAAGAATAAACATTCAAATTCAAATTTTATTTGTCACGTACACAGTCATACACAGTACGATATGTAGTGAAATGCTTGGACAACTGCTCGTGACCTAAAGAAAACAAAAAAGGAAAAGGCTATGAATAAGATAGGAAATAAATATGAAAAATTTAAAAGGGTAAATTTAACTAGGAAGGAATAAAATATAAATTAAGGTTAAAAATGAAATAACTGTACAACACAAATTAGAATGAAGGGTAAATTTAACTGGGAAGAATAAGATAAAATATATAAATTAAAGTTGAAAATAAAATAACTGTACAACAAAATACACAATATAGAACTATATAAGAATGTATGAGAAATATAAATAAATATATACACAATAACAGCAGCTGTACAAGTATTAACTGGAAATGAAGAAATATTTTCACAGAAATTCACAGAAATATTCATCATCTGTCAGCAGTAAGTAATCTAAGAGCTGAGAAACGAGGATTTTAGGTTTCTGAATTTTAATGAAGGACTTTAAGTTTAGTTTATTCTACACTGGGCCGGGTCCAAGGTCACGGCGACCAACTTATTAACAACACTGCCGAGCGAGTTTCTATCCTTGATACATACTGAGCCAGCAGATAAAAGAAAATCTTCAAAGACTTTCAATAAATGAACAATAAAAATGCCATAAAACGTCCCACTAACACATTCTCTGTTGATCCTGTTTTATGATGGAGATATTTGACAAAGGCTGTGCCGAGATATTTATAAGACTGCACTATTTCACAAATAACACTGGCTTTATACTCGGGGTTACGCGTCTGAAATCAATGATCATTTCTTTTGTTTTTGACACACATTTAGCTCCAGATAGTTATCATCACACTACTTCACAAATTCAGGCGAAACAGGGCCGTGGACAGACTCAGAGGACAGTGATATCAGGCAATTATAAATCTGTCCTCAGAAGAAGTCCTGCAGCTGTCGGCATACATAATAACGAGAACACATCCCTGAGGGGAACCAGAGCATGACACAGTCCTGCCGGACATTTGTTAACGAGGACTTGTCGACTCGTCAGTAGGAAGTTTAAAGTCAGCATCAGGAGCTGTTCTGGGAGTTTGGAACGTGAGGCTGCGTCTTATTAAAAGCAGAGAGGTCAGCAAACAGAAGTCTAACGTGAGGACTGGATTTTTTGAGGTGCTCTTAGACAGACTTTAATATAAAGGGTTTAGCATCATCAAAGCATTCACTCTGCTGATGAACAAATTACGAAGGATCAAGTTTACCATTAATGGGGGATCAAATAACACTTTAAAGATCTTTTCCAAGGTTTTAATTACCAGAGTCATGTAAGCACAACGTGAAATCATTTGAAGTTTTAGTTGTAGGGATAGGTACTGCGGTTTGCACCATTCATTTCTGCACACCTCTCTGAGCTCTGCAGCACCTTGATTCTTTGGTTTTCCAGTCGTTCTATTGGAAATGGTGCTCATCCCGATCAAACTGGGTCATCAACATTATCGCGTTGATAACCCAGTTTGGTCCAAGCTTTAGCTGTGGGACAGATGGCCTCACACTGACTCTGGAATACTTGGGTATGTAGAGGTGTCCACGGTCCACTCAGTGACTCGTAGGTCCCTAAATCATCAGTCCTCCACGGCCCTTAACCTTTAACATGCTCACTAAGGTGTGCAGACTATCTGCTAAAGCTGTTTTGGGTTTGTCACGTCCAGCTGCGTGGCACACAAGATTTGGACCCAAATGCAGGACAGGAAAGGAAATAAACTCAAAACACAAAACAAAGGCTGGCCAGGAACAAGGGTCCAAAACTAAAGAGCCAACAGTTAGAAGACATGCAACCATGAGAGAGGACACAACAAAGAACTGAGACAAACTGAAGGAACAAATAGGCATGCCAGGGAGGGCAGCTAAACCTAAGTGAGAAAACAAGACAAGGAATGTAAAACTAAATACAGAGCACAAAAGACAAAAAACCCAACAAGGTAAAACAAGTAACAGATCTCAGGAAATAAACAGACTTGACACAGAGAGTGCAGGAGGCAGGAAAACAAACTCAGGGAATTACAAAGGACATAATCAGGGCTGAGAATAAAAGAGAAAATGAGCTAGAATACCAAACTGAAAAAGGCAAGAAAAAAAGAGCAAACTAACCTTCCTGTCGTGATCGGGTCAAATCGCCCCGATTTACGACTTAAAACACTCATAAATATTGTGTTTTACATGTGATTGCCTCCAGGCCTTATGACATCCTCCACACTATGCACTTGAACATGTAAACGTGATGAGCACTTCTTTCAGTGAATTTTGAGTGTTTTAATCAACCTTGAATCTGTGGAGTTCCCGGTAAAAAGTGACCACCATAGGAATTTCACCTGAATTTTGGTGAAAAATGTTTGCTGATAAAACAGACTGGGAGGGGGTGCACAAAACTGGAGTGCTAAGCAGAAAAGACACACAGGTGAAAATCCAAACCAAAGGCTAACAAACTGAAGATATCTAACAATGACAGCAATAATAAGCAAAAAACTACAAAAGGAAAAAGACTGACTGAGAAAAAGGATCATGAAGGGCTTTTGCAGTTTCTCTGAGCTTGTTGTGAGTTCACTGGAACGTCCTCTTCTGTGAAGATTGTGTTAACATACCTGAATTCTGTAGACCTGCTCACACCGATGATGATCAATCAATTAAGGGTGTTCTTAGTTCTTCACAGGACTGCACACTAAATCTGTTGTCATGGTCCGCATGCATGACTGCACTGCATTCCTCCTCTGCATGTCTCACAGGAGATCATTGGAACACTAGACGACTGCGTGCTATCCAACAGGAAGCGTCTTAATGCCCTAAAACATGGCACTGAGATCTATGAGAGGCGCCGTGAAGAGCTGAAGATGGAGTACCGGAGAATGAAACCAGAGCACAGTGTAGCGCCCCCTGGTGTTCGCACTTTGAAAAAAGAGGAGAATGCCATGGTAGTTACCTCTCTGATTCAAAAACAAAAAAGTGTCATTGCCTCTGAGTTTCTTTTTATATGGTTCTCATTTGTTATAAGATGTGCAGGTCAAAGGTCACAATGAGCAATGATTCGTGTTTGTCTTCAGAACTTGCGGGTCCTGGAGAACAGTCTGGAAAAAAGCCAGTTTAAGTGCAAGGAGGCCGAGAACATCATGATTGACTACCTGAAATTAAAGAGTCACTTACAGGTCAGTCCAGCGTTCCTCGTAAAACGCAAGACTTTGTCGGCACCGTCTCCTGTAACGGTTTGTGTTATATACACTGAACAAAAATATAAACGCAACACTTTTGTTTTTGCTCCCATTCCCCATGGGATGGACGTAGAGACCTAAAATTCATTCCAGATACACAATATAACCATCCCTCCCAAACAGTGGTCACAAATCAGTCCAAATGTGTGGTAGTGGGCACATCTGCTATATTGAGATAATCCATCCCACCTCACAGGTGTGCCACATCAGGATGCTGATCTGACATCATGAGTAGTGCACAGGTGTACCTCAGACTGCCCACAACAAAAGGCCACCCTGGAATGTGCAGTTTTGTCTTACAGCAAAATGCCACAGATGCCACAAGCAATGAGGGAGCGTGCAATTGGCATGCTGACAGCAGGAATGTCAACCAGATCTGTCGCCCGTGCATTGAATGTTCATTTCTCAACCATAAGCCGTCTCTACAGGCGTTTCCGAGAATATGGCAGCACATCCAACCGGCCTCACAACCGCAGACCTCGTGTAACCACACCAGCCCAGGACCTCCACATCCAGCAGGTTCACCTCCAAGATCGTCTGAGACCAGCCACCCAGACAGCTGCTGGAACAATTGGTTTGCACAACCAAACAATTTCTGCACAAACTGTCAGAAACCGTCTCAGGGACGCTCAACTGCATGCCCGTCGTCCTCATCGGGGTCTTGACCTGACTCCAGCTCGTCGCCGTAACAGACTTGTGTGGGCAAATGCTCACATTCGATGGCGTCTGGCACGTTGGAGAGGTGTGCGCTTCACGGATGAATCATGGTTCACATTGTTCAGGGCAGATGGCAGCTGAGAATGTCCCAGTTCTTGCATGGCCAGCATACTCACCGGACATGTCACCCATTGAGCATGTTCGGGATGTGCTTGACCGGCGTATACGACAGCGTGTACCAGTTCCCACGAATATCCAACAACCTCGCACAGCCATTGAAGTGGAGTGGACCAACATTCCACAGGCCACAATTGCCAATCTGATAGACTCCATGCGACGATGTGTTGCACTGCATGAGGCAAATGGTGGTCACACCAGATACTGACCGGTTCTGGGTCCCCAGACCCCCAATAGCGCAAAAAACTGCACATTCCAGGGTGGCCTTTTGTTGTGGGCAGTCTGAGGTACACCTGTGCACTACTCATGATGTCAGATCAGCATCCTGATGTGGCACACCTGTGAGGTGGGATGGATTATCTCAATATAGCAGATGTGCCCACTACCACACATTTGGACTGATTTGTGACCACTGTTTGGGAGGGATGGTTATATTGTGTATCTGGAATGAATTTTAGGTCTCTACGTCCATCCCATGGGGAATGGGAGCAAAAACAAAAGTGTTGCGTTTATATTTTTGTTCAGTGTACTTTTGAAACAGTCACTGCAAAGCTGGTCTCTGAAAATGGTTATTTTGGTCTTTGCTCTCAGCATTAATTCTGTTTTAGGCGTTAGCAGACACCTGCATGCTCGTACCTGAGCACAGTCTCTTAAACACTTCCTGTAAGATCTCTGTACTCTGCAAAATCTGCTCTTTGAGCCTGACGTCATTAGCCGTTTCTGGGTCCAAAGTCAAACGAACACTGCAGCATCACTGAAAGTTACAAACTGTCTAAAATCTTTCATCTTTAATACAATGATCAGCGTTGCTGCTTTATAAGGTTTAAATTAAGTTTAACATCCAGGCATCCATGAAAACAGGATTTATTACATTTAACGGAGTTAGACGTTAGCAGGAAGTTAGCTCGGTAGTTTCCACCTAAACATGATATAGCATGTTCTGACTGAGAGATTTCTAAAAAAAATTCAAACGTACAGCTCTGCTTGTTAAGTCAAAAGACATGACGTCGTGGTCTCACTCCAAGCGCTTTATTCGTTACTCCATGTTTTACTGCTCACACACAATAACAACAACTCACCGTGGGCCGTGATATAACAGAAAATAACAAGTTAACAATCTCCCTCTTTCTTTTTTTAAAAATAAAAATATAAACACCCCTTTTAAACATTTGTATACATATATGTGTGAGTAAACAAAACAAAAAAAAAACTTGTCAACTTTGTTGAACATCCAGGAAACTGTCAGGGTCCTGGGTCATTTTGACCCAGCGTTTTGTGTTTCCTTGAAGTTCATTTTTGTGCCTTGTGTTTATTCTGATTTTGTACTAGTTTAGGGTTCAACCTGAAGTTTGGTGTATATTCAGCCCTACCTGTGTCTGTCCTTGGTGCTCTGTTCATGTCCCCGTGTTGTGTTGTAAATCAGTCTGTGTGTTTCCTGCTTTACTTTGAAGGCTCGTGTTCTGGATTTCCTGTTCTATTCTGAAGGTCTGTGTCTTTTGTCATTGTGTTCAGCTTGTGTCCTCCAGTCATCATGTGTATCCAGATCAGCTGTTCTTCCCTCCTGTGTGCGATTACCCGATTACCTTGTGTGTGTGTGTGTGTGTGTGTGTGTGTGTGTGTGTGTGTGTGTGTGTGTGTGTGTATATAGTGGGTGTCGGTCTGTGTTCGTTGTCGGCTCATCTGCGTTCTATGGTGTTCCGTTCCTGTCTCTGCGTCTCTCTGCCCCACACCCCTTTTGTATGCTCTCAGGTTTGTCATTTAGTTCTCCCAGTTTAGGTTTCTTCAGTTGTTTTCTCATGATTCGTTGTCTGTTCTGCCACTGTCACCTGTAAATAAACCCTCACTCATATCATCAGTCGGCTGCCTGCATTTTGGGTCCTCCTTTTCCTCCAACACTACACGGCTCACCCTGCCAGCCGTGACAGAAACACTTCAATGTGCTTTGCTTTGCTTAAAGCATACTATCACTGCACACAATAAACAATAGTGCATTTTAATGCAAAGAAAACTCCACAGTATCCAGAGTCCTTCATCTCATGCTTTTAGAAGGGTTAAAGGTGAAACTCCCTTTTTGTCAGACAATCAGCAAGTTGGGATTTGGAATCTGACCAACAAACCTGTCTGATTTTCTTGGCTTGTATGAGCTTTTTAATGCTACTCATTTCTAGCCTCAGTCTCTTCTCTGTAACCTGCTTAGCGGACTTGAGTGCATCAAACAAGGAATGATTGTCAGTCACACAGATCAAAGGAAGAGCGTTCAGACCAGTGTTACCAGTTGTAAGCTCTGAAAAAAGTGTTGCCAGGAATACCGCAGTGTCTATTCCATCTGACATGGCAAGAGTTTCTCCTGCCAGTGTACTTCTGACCACACGCCTGATTTTCTTAGGCTGCCAAAAGAGAGGACAAAACTTTCCTCCTTTACCCATAAGGACGATTAATGTCCCTCCTTGAGTACCACCATCAGGAAGGTTACCAAAAGAAGCGTCACTGAAAACAACCAGTGCCAAATCCTCACTGTTAGCCAAGCTCTGAAACTTAAGAGTCACTTTCTCTGCCTTAAGTTTACAGATAACTTTGTTCACTTCATGAATGGACTGCACAGTTGCACCTTTGATATTAGATCCAAGGCTGCATGTGTCAAACATCACATCTGGCCTCGTTTGTTTGGCAACCCACAAAATCTGTCCTATTTTGACCTGAGTTGCTCCCGTTCTGTTTCACTTAAGGAAGCATCCCTCTGTACAGCCCATGCTGCTTGTAACTGAACCGGCTGTAGGTTATCAATGTAAAGTTGTTGATGTGCCTCTATTACATCATTAACTGTACAAATGTCCATACCCTCTTGAGCCTCTCTGTCCTTGCCCGGATGATGCGGAACCTTCTACCCGATTGCAGAAGTTGGAACAGTTTGTTTACAGGATGGGACGGGTGCTTCAATATCTGCGCTGCTCTTGTCCGGCATCTCCTGGTGTAGGTGTCCTGAAGCAGGGGGAGAGCAATCCTGCAGCAGTGTTCTGCTGTATGGATCACTCTCTGGAGAGCTTTTTGGTCCTCAACACAGCTGTTCCCAAACCAGGATGTGATGTTCTGTGTAAGGATTCTCTCCACAGCGCCTGCTAGAAAGTCCTGAGGATCTCAGGAGAGACCCTGAACTTCCTCAGTTGTCGTAGGTGGTACAGGCGCTGCCTAGCCTTTTGCTCCATTGATGATAATGGGCTTGTAGTCTTTGTGCTGACTCCTTCTGAAGTCCACCACCAGCTCCTTGGTCTCGCCAACGTTCAGCTGGAGGTGGTTATCATGGCACCGTGATGCCAGATTCTTCACTTCATCCATGTAGGCCGCCTCATCGTTGTTGGAGATGGCGCTCAACACCACTGTGTCGTCAGCGAACTTCACAATGGTGTTGGAGCCGCGGGCGGCCACACAGTCTGAAGTGTAGAGGGAGTAGAGCAGTGGCGAGAGGACACACCCCTGTGGTGCTCCTGTGTTGATGGTGATGCTTCTAGAGACGCATCTACCCACCCTCACCACCTGAGTTCTGCCAGTGAGGAAGTCCAACACCCATGCACACAGACGGCTGTTGAGTCCCAGTTCATTCTGCGCGATCAACCTGTGATATTTTACCACCAGTTTTGACCATAATGTCTTTGACCTTATTGTACCAATAAAGTGAAGCATCTGCAAGTCCATACACACACTTTTTTAGTTTCCATAGAACATTGTCCTTGCCAGCTTCAGGTGGGGGATGAAGATAATGTCTCTTGACAGTTCCATTCCCTGCAAAAAGGCAGATGTAATGTCCATTTAATTCATTTTCCACTTGTTTTGATATATCACAGCTAGCACCAGTCTGAGGGACTCAGATGCACATGTTGGAGAGTCTTTCAAACCCGCAACAAGTCGGGCCTTTGGGACGATACCATTATTAGTTTCTTTGAGTGTACAGAACCGTCTAGTAGACACACATTTTTGACCCAGGTCTTTCACTTCATCAAACACGCCATTACTTTGCCAGTTCTCAATCTCCTTTTTGGCAGCATCAAAGGAGATATCTTTTGTTATTAGTACATCTACATCTCTGTTTTCAGCTTCAGTGCAAAGAC